CATTCGTGTTTTTCAAGCGGACACATTAAATATATTATGTTCGAAATACGCGACGGATCGGTAACAAAAAGAACGCGAGAGGGGGCCGGGGGGTGCAAAATCATGACGGTACAAAAAAGTCGCGGCGCGTTTGCAAATTGAAATTTGTCTCGATGTTGGGTGGCGTTTGTCACTGATGACAATGATGATTTCCCAAGGCCTTGTTTCTTTTTATCGCGTAGAAATGATTTTCGTTGCCTCGCGGCATGTCGTAATGTTCCAGGAATTTTAATAATTAACAATTAAATATCAATAATTTCCCAATTCGAAATTTCGACGCTACTCTGACGTTTCTAAAGATTTTTGCACCTACTTAGACAGCCTATATAGACTGATAAAAACCTACTTTTACGATACTGACACTTTTTAACTTGTCTCTTGAACTTCTAATTCTCTACAGATCAAATTTTAATGCTACCTGTGTGAAAATCTCTCCGTTTTTTCCCCACTTATTTAAATTCCCCCACTTAGATTCCGATAATATTTCCCTGAGAAAAAATTTCCCTAAGAAAAACTAAAATGATCCCGATCTGTTTTTCTAACGTAGAACTTGTTTTGATAAATTATTAGACAAACGTAGGAAATTCTGATCAGTTCCTTTTGGCTCTTTCACTGCAATTCATAATAACAATCCAAACGATTGACAAGAAATCCGATTAGTAAATCCGATTGGATTCTTTCCAATTTTCCTGACCTGTATCTTTTTTTAAAAGTGGAACACTTCCAGTCGGATACTGATGAGATTTTCTACTCAGATTCTAATGATAACTGGGGAAATCCGGATCCCTGTTTAAATTTCCACACGGACACACCTTCAATATTTTTGACGCTAACAGCGAAAACGGAAATCTAAGACATCATCAGGGAAATAGAAGTTATATTATATTATTAGAGTTGAAATTGTGACCTTATTTTTCTATTTTAATTCCTACTATGTTATTGAATTAAAGGTATTTAATATAGGGATAAAATTTCTACTCAAGTCCCCTCCCCCAAATCGGACGACGTTTGCCAGCGACACTTTATCAGCTCGTTACGTCGGACGTGATGATTCCATGTGAAAGAGTCGGAACTGTTATTCCTTTACGTTACTTGCGCGGTAACGCGATAACGATAATTAGCCCGCTCATCCGCGCGCCAACCTTCCAGCGGAATGCAAATTATGCAACTCCGGCATCGCAAAGTTTCCCGAGCGAGAATGCCGCGTTCACGTAGAATCTCACGGGCAACACCATCGAGGGGAGGTAGAGAGCAACGCCGAAGAATGTGCGGGGAGATTGAGAGAGGGAGGGGGGAGGGGCACGAAAAAGTGTCGCCGCTTCTCAGCGACAACGCAACGTCGTCCAATTTTAATCTCGGAATTACTTCCATTTTATTTCAATTTTCTTGCATTTAAACCGTCTAAGCGAGTTTACCTTCGCAATATCATTGCCGAGGATCGTCGTGAGTCGCCGGCTGCTCGGACGGCAGGAGGAGGTCGTGGGTAGAGCGAGAGAGAGAGAGAGAGAGAGAGATGAAGAAAGAGAGAGTGGATAAGAAGAAGAAGAACGTCGGCGGAGGCGGACGGAAAAGGTGGAAGTACCTGCTCTAATAAATTTACGACCTAAAAAGATTAAGCCGCGTTAGCCCTGTTCTTTATATTTCCGCGAGAGGAGCGAGAACGAGAGCGAACTCGCGCGCGCGCTCTTTCGCCACTAAAACGCGAGTCGGTTCCCGGAGACGAAGACGGAGCGCTACGATAAGACGAGGATATCGAGAGAGAGAGAGAGAGAGAGAGAAAGAGGGGGGATGGTGGCGAAGGGAGGATGGGAAAGGGAAGCAGGACGAAACGAGATGGAAAAGGATATATAAGAGATACGAAGGGAAATTCGCTTATTTTCCCATCATTTCGGCGTGGCATCTTGTCCGTAGCCTTTTCTCATCCACGGAGGAAAGAAAATTGCTTCTCGTCCTCGAGAGCGGAATATCGTCCTGATGAGCCCGGGAATGCTCCGATATCCACCCCTCCGCGCGTGCCCCCTGCCCCTGTTTCCCGTTTTGCCGCTACCCCCGCGAGCCCGAAACCTCCGTGATGCCTCCGACGTTTAACCCCGTCTTCGTTCCACTTCGTTTCCGCGTTCTCCTCCGTTTCTCCGCCACCCTCCTCCGTCTTTCTCTTTCTCTCTTTCTTCCTCTCTCTTTCTTTCCCTACCTTTCCGACGGTAACATTCAATTTGCCAGTCTTCATGTTATCCGAACGCGATGCTTCTTCTCGTTACCGATTATTTCGGAGGCGCGAAGACATTTTTGCGCCGCTTGCTAATAAGCGGACTTCGCGACGAGCCAAAAGACTTGTTTGCGCATTACATGTAATGAGTGCCAAATACTTTATCGTTAGACAATAGCGTTACTATTATTACGTTTCATAATATTTTAGTTTGATAAACAGAATGATAATTTTTACTAATTGAAGCCTTTAAAAATATCGACAACTCTGCTTATAGTATTCTGTATTCTTCCAATTTTTTATCGAATCACACACCATTAACGGTGTCACGGTTGGATTCGAACGCACGTCACACCGAAGTATGTCGCAATTACGCGCGACTCGCGCGCGCGAACAATTATCTCGCAGACGGTCCGGCTGTCAGCTACCGGTGAGGAGTTAAAACCGATTGCTCAGCGTTATTTGTCCGAAATAAGCGTTCGGGCGAGCGTTGAGCCGAGAAGCAAGATTCATCGGCCGTCAATGGACGGAACCTGGTTCCCTTTCTCTCGTGTGCGGCTCCTTTCTCTCTCTCTCTCTCTCTCTCGCCGCGCGCCTCGCGAGTAAATTCGTCACGGGCGCGCGCGGTGGGCCTCATATCCGGCGTGTCTCGGCCGGGGGACTGAATAATTCATAAGCCGAGGCCGATAGCATCGGCTCTTAACGCAATAGACTTGAGCGAGCTGCCAACAGCAGCCATGTTACGATAAAGAAATCAACATGGCTGAGACGTCCTGGCAAGCCAGAACGTCCCCTTCGACGTTTCTCTCTTCCCTCCTTGGGTCCACCTTGGCGGAGCACCGCCGCGTCACGTAGCTCCGCTCTCGCTCGTTCGCTCGCTCACTTTCGATTTCACCCCACGGGCTCGTTACCCTCTTGATGCCAATGGAAGGGTGGACTCCGTCTCTTACCCTCCGATCTTCCGCCGACCTTCTTCTTGCCCCCTTTTCTTAGCCAACGCCGTTCTCAGGGGTGGACCTAGCCAGACCCGCCCAGAGCGACATTTCTGCAACCCTCCTTTTGGTGCAGAAATCGAGAAAGATAGGGAGGGAAAGAAAAAGAGAGCGAGAGAGAAAGAGAGAGAGAGAGAGAAAGGGAGAGAATTACAAGGAGAAAGAGAGAGAGAAAGTCTTGGCAGCCACTTTTCTCGCCCTCCGCATGATCGCACCTCGCCAAAGGAACTCCATTTTCTACTGAACCCTCTCGATCTCTCTTTCTCCCCCCCCCCCCCC